AAAAAATTCTCCAATCCATTCCTGTGTGAATACAAATTCCTTCCAGAAGAACACAACAATGACAACTGTTCTTTTTCATACATTTCCATCAAATTGAAAACCTTAAGCAACAATTTGATGAATCCTCTTGACTCTGTGTAATTTTCAACAAATCACTGGTGGCTAGTCATGTCAATGACTTTTGATGTAGTTTATTGGTGGTTTTCAGTTTAATTTCTTGTCCTTCATATTTGTATACTAAGCTAGATAATTCTGTAAACAAGATTACACTATAGCAATAAATAATAATAATAATAATTATTATTATTAACTAATAGATTGTTGATTTCTCTTCAACAGATGAAAATGGCTCTTGTTTAGATTCATTAGATTTTTGTTCCGAGATAAGAAAATTCACAAAAATAGCACATATTCCCATTCCAAATATTGCAACTATAGTAATAGAAAAAAATAAACATTTATTCGTTTTGAAGCTAACTGATTAGTCAATTATAATAAAGACAATACATACTCATGCCTCGTCTAGTCGTATCCCATTTCACAGCCTCGATATCAGTCCTTATATCACCTAATGCGATGGTATACTTATTATTTAACTCTTCAATCTTTATCTCCAATCTTTTCTGGTCTGTTCGAGTCTCAGCTTTACGCGTATTGAAATCCATCTGTATCTCGTGTTTTAATGTAGTAGTGTCTTCTTTTATCTTCGAGTTCAGTACGTCAAGTTCTCGTTGAATACTTGTTGTTTCTAGACGTAATGCAGACCAATCGTTTTTATGGAGAATTTGAATTTCTGTTCGTAACTCTGAAAGCGCAGCTTTAAATAAATATCTTCCCTGTAATTGCATCGTAATTTTAATTATCAATTAATTAATCAAAAATGACAATTGGAGTGATTGTATTTTTGGAAAGTTGATCAATGTACTTGCATTTTCCAAATCTGATTTTGAAAGCATTTGACTTTGTATTAACGCAGAGCTAGATAAAGATAAAACGAAATATCAGCTATGATGAATAAAGCATATACTCATCAGAAACAGATCAGGTAGAGCTACCTATCAAGTAACATTGCCTGTATACATTTCATTATGGCAACCGCTTGCCCCCGAGCGAAACCACGAAGCTCTAGTTCTTTCACCAAATTATATGTGTGAAAACTGTGGTTTGTGTGAAGAAGTCGGCATGAAGTTTTTCTGGTAAAAACCTGAGGAACCGAGAAAAAGGATTTTAACATGCAAGGCATCATTGGTTTTTAATTTATCGATCACTGATTGAAATACTTGATTAACAAGATTATCAATTTTTTTATATTTTAAAATGGTATTTATAAAGTTCTAATTACTTTAGCTGGCTGCTTATACAATTTTTGAGAATGCGTGTATACCTTTAACCGTTGCTAGATTAGGAGACAAACTCGACTTCGCCGTGAATATTTATATCGTAAGTCTTTGGAGACTAAAGACAAACAAGTTTTTGAGCGAAAACAAAAGATTAAAGAGGCCATCCGAGGTAATTTTGTAATTCACTATTTAGAAAATATCTTCGAAAATTTAATATTAACAGTAAAATAATTATTACTTTTGAATATAGAAGGAAAGCCAATACCTACCGAATCACGGAAGGAGGTCACCGAGTTACAAAAAGAACTTCTTTATGATGAAGCTCAAGCAGGCATCATATATCCATAAATATTGATTCGATTATTTTTGATCTATGTTGTAAGATCTTTCTTTTTTTTTTACTTACTAGAACCCACAACACATATCGATGATGAATACGCGCGGGCCGGCGAACACGATCCAAAAGTTTTGATTACGACTTCTCGTGACCCGAGTAGCCGGCTTCAACAATTTGCAAAGGTAGCAAAATGATACTATTACAATGAATGTTAACAATTATATTCTCAAATGATTTTGATGATTTAAGGAAATGCGACTGATTTTTCCAAATTCACAACGTATCAATCGCGGCAACTATGTGATCAAAGAAATTGTGGACGCGTGTAGAGCTAATGACGTCACTGACTTAATAATATTGCATGAACATCGTGGTGAACCTGGTATATAATTATAATTATTTTTCTTCCATATGATCGACCACGATAAATATTTGATTGTATATACATAATTTTTTTAAGATGGTGTAATAGTGTCGCATTTACCTTATGGTCCCACAGCCTTCTTCTCATTACATAATGTCGTTTTAAGACACGATATAAAAGATGAAGGCACAGTATCAGAAGCATATCCGCATTTGATATTCCATAATTTTAATTCTAAACTTGGTCATCGGGTGAATAATTTGATTTATGTTCTCTATATTTATTATGTAAATATTAACAATAACGATGATAATATAATCTAATAGGTGATGAATATTCTAAAATATTTGTTCCCGGTTCCAAGAGAAGATAGTAAACGAGTAATGACTTTTGTGAATGATAGCGATTATATCTCTTTTCGGTATTGATTTTATTTTATATCTATTTTATGATTCTTTTGTCTACATTTATAAGTTGTTTTCTTTATAAAGACATCATGTTTATATAAAGACGAGTCATAAAGACGTGCAATTAGCGGAAGTGGGACCGAGATTTGAAATGCGAGGTGGGTTGTTTATTTATGTTTTTCTTGATTTTTATTATTATACATAAATTAATCGTAAGATTTACCAAAAGTTTACGAAATCAAATTGGGTACTGTTGATCTTAAGGATGCAGACACGGAATGGGTATTACGGCCATACCAACGTACTGCAAAGAAACGAGATCAATTATAATAAATTGGTGGTTTTCGATTTACTATTCTCAAGAGATAGCGACTTTTTGTTTCCTTCATAAATTAACTAGCGATGATCATGAAGATGACAGGTCAACAATCCAAGAATAGAAAAATTAGCAATATTGGTTTACAACATATCAATAACTGATCCATTCACCTTGATACAGGTACTGGTTCAAGTTTCCCATTATCGTAACGTGCCTAAAAAGTGGAATTTCACATATTAGAAAAAAGTTAATCAAGCCAGAATTATAATAAAGATAGAAATAAAAATAAAAATAAAAACACCTTAAAAAACGTGTATGACAAAGTAACCGTATCCACATCTCTCATTAACGGATCATTAGCAAATTCTGGATCTAAAAAGAAAAACACTGGCATATCAACCTGTTCCCCGGCTCGCAATTTCTGCTCCTCAAAACAAAAGCACTGTATCTTATTAAAGTACTGTCCAACTTTCATCGGCGTGACATTATACGTGGCTATTCCAATAATATCTTGATCCGAAAGGTTTTTTGCCGTATAAAATGCTAGTGCTGTCTCGCCCGGCAGTACCCGAACTTCACGTTGTTGCGGAATGAATTGCCATTGTAATGCGACCGAAGTGTCCGCGTTAAATGTTACTTTTATCCGACGCGAATTTTCTGCGGGTATTAATCGGTCAGCGCTGAATCTGGAGGTGTCACTGGTGTTTGGTGTACCGCTGAAACCGGTTGCTTGACAAAACATACGATATAGAGGGACCGAGGCATATGTGAAGCCTACCACGGAGACTAGTATGGCTGTGGTGTACATTAACATTGAACGGTTTTTCGCTCGATATCTGTTTTGATAGGAACCATAACCGCCACTTTTCCGAGCGTTCTTAGCATTAATTTGAGATGCTTTCTGATTTAATCGAGATTCGGAATTTTTGTTTATTGTGGTTGAAGTACTACTAGTATTGTAATTTAAACCACATAGCGAATTGTGTCCAATTTGTGTAATTGGAAAAAAGTTGTTTCTCTTCCCAAAAAGCAAACAAGATATGTACGAAAAAGATTCCGGAGATGATTTTATAGGTCGAAGCTTCGTTATTACATGCTAAAAAGTAACGACAACGATATTGTATTAATATAAATTATTGATGAAACCAATGAAAAACAATCTACTTACTCGCTCAGTTACAAAATATCTTTTGGTGTAATTACGGGATAAACTAAAAATCAGAAAGGAAATATGATGAAAGTTTTTTCGGATGAAAGAAATTTGATACATTTCAAGAAGAGTTGTCACACACGTTATTGGTCGTTAGAATCTATGTAGATTATCTTAAAAGATCCTCTGTAAAATTGTCAAAGTATTAAATAACTGAGAAATGGGAGGTTTATACCTGTTAGACTATGGAGCAGGCAATGTTAGAAGTTTAGTAAACGCCGTCAATCAATTGGGTTACGAGATGAATTGGGTGAATGAGCCTTCCGACATTTTAAAGGCTGACGTGAGTTTTCGCAAAACCTTGTAATTTCTATTATATATATTCTGTTTTCTTAATTGTCGATAACTTGAAATTTAGAAATTAATTTTCCCGGGAGTTGGCGCGTTCGGAAGTGCAATAGAAGCATTAAACACAAAACATTACGCTGATCCTCTTCGAGAATATATACGCTCCGGTAAACCCTTTATGGGCATCTGTGTAGGGTTGCAGTCGTTATTTGAGGGATCGGAAGAGTCGCCCGACGTATCTGGTCTAGGCATCATACCGGGTGTTGTAAGACGATTTGATACAATGGATAAAGCGGTTCCGCATATGGGATGGAATGAGGTTTTTTTATTGAAAAATAGTTTACAATCTAAGAATGAGGAGAATTTGGACAAAAATGACGATGTTTTACACTACGGGATCAAACAAAGAACAGCGTATTATTTCGTGCACTCTTATGCTGTTCCATATAATAGTCAATTAAAGGAATGGACTCTTGCAATTACACAATATGGTACTGAGAAATTTGTCAGTGTCGTGCAAAAAGATAACATATTTTGCACCCAGTTTCATCCAGAGAAAAGTGGATACTCGGGACTTCGTATTTTGAGGGCGTTTTTAGAGACAAATGGCGCAGCAGTCCAGCTTACACAAAAAACTATAAATATCATTCGAAGTCTGGATGATGTTACAAATAATAAAAAAGATCGATTTAGAAAAAGGGTAATCGCATGTCTCGATGTACGGACCAATGATGAAGGGGATTTAGTAGTTACAAAGGGTGACCAATATGACGTTAGGGATCGTACTACTACTGCCAATGATAACAACCACATCAATAATAATAATGGTTTGTCTAATATAGTAAACGTGGCAGGTCAAGTAAGAAACCTTGGAAAGCCTGTTGATTTGGCTAAAAGATATTTCGACGAAGGTGCCGATGAAATCACGTTTCTTAATATCACCAGTTTCCGTAATTCTCCATTGACCGATTTACCAATGCTAGAAATATTGCGTCGTACATCAGAGACAGTATTTGTCCCATTAACAATCGGTGGTGGAATTCGTGATATAATCGATCCGGACGGAAAATTCCACTCAGCTCTTGAAGTTGCCGGTGAATATTTTCGTTCGGGTGCCGATAAAGTCTCGATAGGTAGTGATGCGGTATATGCAACAGAGAAATACTTAAAAAACGGTAAAAAGTGCAATGGAGACACGGCTATTGAAACTATCGCGCATGCGTATGGATCGCAAGCAGTTGTGATTTCAGTTGATCCAAAAAGAGTATATGTCAAATCTCCTACGGATACTAATCACCATTGTCTTGAAACCTCGATACCTGGTCCAAACGGCGAGAGCTATTGTTGGTATCAATGTACAGTGAAGGGAGGTAGAGAAGCACATGATATCGACGTGTATCAATTAGTTAACGCGTGTGAAGCTATGGGTGCTGGTGAAATTTTGTTGAATTGTATAAATCGGGATGGTACAAGTTCCGGATTCGATATTGAACTAATTCGTGATGTGAAAAAGTCGGTACGGATTCCTGTTATCGCTTCTAGTGGAGCGGGAAATGAGGAGCATTTTGTTGAGGTTTTTCGTGAGACGGGAGTTGAAGCTGCTTTGGCTGCTGGTATTTTTCATCGACGTGAAGTACCTATTGAAAGTGTAAAAAGAGTTTTGAAAGGAAGGGGTGTACTGATAAGGGACAGTGATACAGTCCTGTAAATATTGTAAAATTATACACATAGAATAATTTTTTTATAATACGCTATTATTATATAATACAGATATTTATTTTTCTCTATTGAAAAATTGAGATACTTTAAAACATAATTCGCGTATTTCTGATACAGAGTTAAAATTATTGTCTAGTTGGTGACGATAGCTTGAAGGACCTTCATTGTAGCGATGGTAATCATCATTTTCTGATCTAATCATGGATAAGAAATCAAGAGCTTCATTTGAATAGATAGCAGATGATGTTATGTCTCCCCTTGACATGATGACGCGTTTTCGTTAAAACCAAAGTTAAAGAAAATATTTAACTTGAATAAAGACAGTGAATTAAAATAAAGACACAAGGATGCGGACTTGCTACAGTATAAAAAGGATATCTTCTGGCAAGCTCAGTTTCATCTTTCTCAAAATATCAAGCGCCGCTCTATCGGTTTTAGCTTGAATTTGTAGTTTGATCGTATCGACTAAAGAGACAGCCATGTTTGAAGTAGTCATAGGATATAATAATACAGCGAAAAACTCATCTTTGGCCTGGAAAGCTCTAGGAAGATGCATTTCACTAGTATTTGGTGTGAAAAAATCCTAGTAATATATAAAAAATGTTGTGATTAATAATGTTCATATTCATAATAGATAATAACGGAATTTACCGAAGTCTCCCATGCGCCAATTTGTTCCAATAAATTTGGTATAACTGATAAATTAGACTGATTTGGTATGGTGTTTGTACATAAAAGATAAAAATCAATCACTGTTGGAAACATAAGCCGCTCATCTAAAGATGAAATTACGAAAGACCATTTGAGCAATCGTTATTCGAAAAATTTGAACTCAAAAGTATGACGTTAAGATTAACATAACTTGTTGTAATTGGAATCTTATTACCACATATAATTTTATTAACTTGACTGAACTCATTCACGCACACGATTTTCCAATCTTGATTAGTGTTCGCGAGAAACGGGTCTTCGTATTCATAATTTAAGTTCGCCGATAGTCGAAAACATATTTGTGCCCCAAACTCAGAACCATCAATTATTGCGCCCATGGGAATGTCTACAACAGATGTTAGCACTACTTTTTCGGCAGTTGTCGAAATAATTGGGATGCGTTTGGCACGGCTTTTCGTTATTGATGTTATTGATGCTCTTGAAGCCTTTTTTATGAAAAGAGTCAAATGGACGTCATAAATATTTTGGCTAAATTCATAATTTTCAATATGAGAGAAAGGTAATTTCATTAATATTAATTATGTGTGAATGATCAACTATCAAATAATATGATATACCTTCCAGCATTTTTCACAGTTACTTCGAATAACAACTCATCTCTTAGATTTGTTCCTCCTAAAATTGTCCTTGCCTCCTCGACTTCTATGTATTTTTTTTCAGGTGATTCTTCCTTTCTTGATGATGATGATGACTCGGCATAATCTTTACTAGAATTGATGGATAATAATCTCATCATTTCATAACTTTGTTTGTGATTATTAATAGCATGTTTTCTTCGTAAATTTGTGGTTGATCCCGTTGTATAGTCATCATCTTCGATTTGGAAAACGTCAGACATAGAATCTAGCAGTGAATTACATTGTAAAAGTATTTCTTGCTTAGCTTTTATCTTTTTGTGCATTAATGTTATGGTATGAAATAGAAAATGATTAGTTGGTATTTATAAAATGAAATTCAGTAAAAAAAGAAACATCAATTACCGAATCATTTAATTTTTTAATTTTAGCTTTTTCCTCAATCACTCGATTATTCAAAGATTCAAGTTTCGAACTTAAATGGGCATCACTTTCAATATTGTCACCTTTAAAAATAAGTATCAGAGGAAAATTAGTTTTAAAAGTTGTGTGAGATCAAAAGATGGGATCGAAGATGGAAAATTTAAATAAACAACAGAAACCTTCAATCGTAAATGAATCATTCAAATTTGAACAATTCAGATTAATGAGACTCCAAGTGTAAATATTTTCCATATTGGAAATTGGAACTTTTATCAGTTGATCAGATGCTTTGCTAAAAAAATCTCCATGAGCACACATAAATCCATTAGAGATCTCTATAAAAAAGACGAAAATAATTATGAATACAGTGCTCACATATTTCAAATCGTAAGAAATAAGAATGTTAAATTTTTATTACCTTCGAGAATAATCCCATTTTCAGAGTTTATTATAATGGAATTGTTTTGATCCGTCAATACAATTAATACTGAATTACATCGAAAACTATCATCATGTATTATTACTTCTTTTCTGTTTTTGTTTCAAAAATTAATTGATTATTATTGCACCTGATTTCATGGTACCGATCGATTATACAAAACGCTTAGTGTACAATAAAAGTGTTTAAACAACTTACATTAACACAGGTTTTTCCGGAATTTGAATACACTTTTCAACTTTCCATTCACAATAAGTATCGTAATCATTCCAACCGCTAATATTAGTCCTGCAATTGCATTTCAAGCACACTATTTCTTCTTGTATCGTTCCTATCCAGATCCATCTTGGATTTTCTTGATGATCATAATTAGCCTTCGGTAACAAACACGATGCATTTCTTGCAAATGTTCCAGGCACTGAATTCAGGAATGGATTCTTTTCGAAAGCTATTGCATCTTTATCATCATTCGGACCAATATATTTTATTTTGATACAGGATTCGTTGAGGGGACAATAGATAACAAAAATTCTGCCATAAATGTCATCAGAGACGATCTCAGTATCTCGCCGAAAATGACTCTCGCTTTTTTCATAATGAGAATGATCCTCCAGAATTCCGTAAACAAAGTTTGCGGAAATTTTGATTATGGTAGTGGCATTAATAGCATTATTAGAATTATCGGTAGTCCCTATTGTTGGTCTCCAAAGAATACTAAACGTGTTGTTGTAATTCATATCAGAATTCACAAAAGATACACTCTGAAAAACAAACAAAACTGATGGTCCGTCTAACAAAGTAGCAGCTGCAATATATTTGATCAATTGGGGTGTATTAAAAAGTGACAGATCAAAAGTCGAATCTGAATACAAAAGTTTACGAACTTACCACAGAATGAGGCATCATTTATTTCTCCTTTTGTGAATTTGATTTTCCATGATTGGGGAAATTCTCCAACTCGACAAACTTGAAATTCAGTTTCTTGAGAGTTACATAATAGTGTAAATGGAACAAGGCTATATCGATTATATATGCATTAGCGATGACGGAGATGACGCGTTAATTAGATTGTAAAAAGACATACACTCTATAAAAATTATCTGTAACAACGGAGAGAGCGATAATATGTCGAAAGTAGGAAGCTTGTAGAAAAAACAACAAATGTGATATTTTATAAGTAAAATATTAACGCCTAAAAAAACGCGTAAAAAACTACTTCCAATTCAGTATGATAACAAACCATCAACCTCTGACATAATCGATGCTCCCTCTTGTTTCCAATTCACGATCTTATCACTGCTACTAAAATGATTGTCACTGTTGTGATCTACCGAAAGGTATTCATACAAAAAAGCCGTTCTTTCGTAATCGAAGTAAACTTTTAGTAATAAAGAATTATAAACGCAAAAATAACATTTTTGTTCTTGTTCTGTATGGAGAGTGTAAAGATATCTAATAGAATGGAATAACATTGTGTATAACAATCAGTGCTGGTCACTGGGCTGGACTGGTCCCATAAAATGCTTTAGTCATTGTTGTGTCTGGATCCCTTGAGGTGTTTCTCAAAAATGTAAAATTTATCAACATAGATTGTTGAATTCAGAATTTTCAAGCTTTAAATAAAAAGATATTGGAATTTTTAAATATAATTGATTTAACCAATTAGAACTCTTTATTTTTCATGTGATTTATAACCAATAAAATTTAATTCTAATCTTAATCCTAATCCTAATTTAATACTTGATTCTTTATATGAGTTATATGAATATATAAATGAGATATTTTTAAATCATTACAACTCTAAAATAAAAAAAATTCTGAGTCATAACACTTTGAGATCATTAAAATTGGTTACTTTATGTTGTACAATATATAAAAGTGATCTACAATTTTCCTAAAAATCAGCTACTGGCTAAAATGCCCTTAAACGGTTAAAGTTTCTTATTTTTTATCAGGTGATCAGATTAAATTTTGGGCGTGTTGTATTTTCTCGCGTACTATTCCAGTGTTATTGTTCTTTATTCGTAGTATTATTTCAGCTAACAATAATTACATTTACCACACCATTTACTGTACCGTTACCGTTTTTAACATGCTCCGTTTTTATTTTCTCCATTTCCAGAGTGTCTACGTATTTGTATATAAATTACCTATTATATCAGTATAATAATGACAAGTGCGTAAGCTAATTTAATTTCTTACAAAACATGAATGGATTTTTCTGGGTCACACTAGAGCATTATATATTGTGCCAGTCAAATCTGTGTCTGTATCAACATCAAAAATTATATATATCGCTATAGTCTGAAACTGCCCAATTGTATATCCTTTCTTTTTGGTTAATTTTCAAAATGTCCAAAATATCGTCGCTTGATTCTCTGAGAAATCAAGTACTTTCTAACCATGCGGGGGAAGAAAAAGTTGAAGTAAATCAAAGACATTTGATTGACAAAATTTTGGCACGGTATGTGCATTTAGCAACCCTTGCCAATTAATTATAAATGTTCTTGACTGAATTTTCTTGCATTTGCCTAATTATAAAAGATACTCGGCCGAATTTGTAGTTTTCCGTGAGCTTATGCAGAATGCAGGTTAGTTCTTGAAGGACTTTTGCATTTGGTAATTCAAATGGCCCATAAGGCTCAACACAGCATATATTACCATTAATAGACGACGCCAAATCTTCAAGCGTAGAAATAGTATTTGAAACGCAAAAAAACGGGGTTGCTAACGCAAGGACTAATTTCAAGGATAAATGCGTGCGAATATTATTTAAAAATAATGGATTTCCATTTAGACCTGAAGACTGGAACCGTCTAAAGAAAATTGCCGAAGGAAACCCGGACGAACAAAAGGTCAATAGAAGATTCTGCGCATACTGTTATTAACAATTTATTTTTATAATTCATGATAGACATTAATTTTTTGAGTGATTCTTTTTTAATTGATTTCGCGGAAATGATAATGATAGATTGGAGCTTTTGGAGTGGGGTTTTATTCACTGTTCTCCGTATGTGAAGAGCCATTGTAAGCTGGGTCATATTTATTTTCTTTTTTATATCCATCGAATATGAAAAATTCAAATATTTTTGATATTTTTAGTGTTTCTTCTGGTGGACAGGGAATGGCTTTTTATTGGCGTGGAGATCAATTATTTGCTAAACGCGGACCAACTGATCAACTTGATCAAACATGGACCACATTCTTAATGGACGCAAGAGAACCAGCAGAGGTAATACATATATATTAAAACATCATATATGAATTCTTTACTTTTATTAACATTACATTTACATTGTATAATTCGAAGCTTCCAAATCCCGATCAATTTGGTCGATTCATAGCGACCTCATTAGTAAGTAGATCAACCCTTTAAATTATATTTGCTTTCAATAAATAAAATGTATGTTTCATTATGCAGGGTTTTACAGGAAATCTTCGCGAAGTCACAGTATACTATGATAATCACAAAATAGTACACCTCACCAAAAAAATGACAGAGCCTCGAACAATGAACATTATTTCCGGTATTGACACACACTCACCAAAAAAACTATTTCAACTAAAATCAGTCGACGTAAAAAATGTGCAACTTGATGTACAACGGTTAGTAATGCCACAATCATTACTAAGGTCACGGATAATCTCAATTCAAGATTGTTCGTTAGAGAGCACGACGATATTTCTGCGAATAGCTAATGGATATTTGGATGTGCGAGTATCCAAAGAATTTTCAGTAGAAATGGAACGGTCGACGAAAAAGAAACCGCCGAGTAAGACATTAATACAGATGCTTTTCACTGGGTTTGATGAACACAGTTCCTCGTCAGGTGGCTCAGATAATATACAAAATAAAAAAGTTATTGACATCTTCAAAGATTTGTTGCCGTACCCGGAACAAGGGAGAATCTTTATTGGGTTCCCCACACATCAAACCACTGGGTGTTGTTCACACCTTGCCGCAAGAGTCATACCAACAGTGGAAAGAGAATCGGTTGACTTGGTTGATAAAACGTTGGCTGTCTATAATGAGGAGATGCTTACTATGGCTGGAATACTTTCTCGATTACTGTATGAAGATGAATTGAGTCAAATATCACGAATGTATCGAGAAATGATTGGACCGAATTTACATCATGAAGATGATGCTATCAAAGCTACTAAAGGATGGTTACAGAATAGAGCTGCTCACGCGCTCACTCATTTCACGTTCAAGCAAAGTACGCCAAATCCTCGAGTAGGGAACATTATCGAAAGTATATTCTTTGGATGCTCGAATCGGTCTTTGTCGATATTGTCAACAACCGGAGTGATACCAATCACTGATGTCCGCCTTCCAAATCAGGATATGCAGACATTCATAAAATATGTGCCGGTTGTCCCCACAATTCTTTTAGAAAGATGTGCTCCCTTTTTCCGAAAGGCTAAAGAACAATTGAATTTGATACAGGAATTGACCGTAGATGATGTGTTTACGGAATTACGTAGTCGTAGATTGTCCCACGATGAAATAGTGGCGCTCTTTAAATGGTGGATAATATATTGTAATAAATCTGGTCTTTATGAAAACAATGTGAAACAACTGCTTCACCTGGCTACTGTTCAAGTTCCAGGCGGTAATCACATAGCGTTGGAGAAATTTCAATATTTTCTGAATCCAAAGACAATACCCCCCGATAGTGACGTTCCGACTAATATGCTCCCATATCCAATTACAAAGCCATTTTCCAAGAATGACCTTGAAAAATTTTTTGGGTATTTTCAAATCCTATATAAACAAATCTTATATTATTTCGAAATTAATAATTTTTTGATTTAATTCAGAAATTTTACCGAGCTTACTCTCGTCACATGGGCACAATCTATTTTCGAGAAACCAGAACTAGAAAACTCACCATTTTATTCAGAAAAGTTTCTTTCGACAATATCCCGAAGTTGGACGACTCTATCTGTCAATGATCAAAATATCATAAGAAATTTACTTAATGCAAAACAGTGTATCCCGACTAAATTTGGAATGAAGTTACCTGATCAGGCTTATTTCCAAAATGTAAATCTCTTCCGGGATTTACCAGTGATTCATTTCCAGAATCAAAAAGGAGTTTCTGAAAAATTCCTTACTCATTTAGGAGTGCGAAAGGTAATATATATATATATTCTCTTATTTTAGTAAACAAATAAGATATCTAATTCTTGATAATTTTATCTATTATAGCATGTTGAGTTGCAGATTGTTTTCGATCGATTAATTAGCCAAGGAAGTTGGGATCACATGCAACTTGTAAAATACTTGGCTTCTGTAGATCTCAAGCAAATAGAAAAAGATCGATTAAAAATCACTCCAATTTGGCCCAGAGAACAATTGGAAAGTGAGGATGACGTTACAGTGGATGCGAATGGTACGGTCAAAACTCCTCGAGCTATTAAAAGATTTGTTGCAACAGGATTATATGCACCTCTTGTTGAGCTTAGGGATCTAGGGTTGCCAATTATCGAATGGAAAGGCAAATGGCAATCAAATGCAAAAGATGGTATTTGATACATTATTCTTATTTTCTTATTATTATCATTTAATATCAACACTACTAAATTCTAAAATCTTAAAGCCAAGTTTCTTTTGGATATGGGACTTCGTGTACATCCACCGTTGCAAGAAGTCCTTGCGCTGGCATCACCCCCTTCCCAAGTTCAGCTCCGGTCCAAAGCGCTTCACTATTTTCTCGAGAAATTTAAGGAAAAATACTCGACAGAATATAACAACACTCTTATCACGCAAGCCTTTTTGCCTTGTACAAATAAGCATGATTATGCCAGACCTTCAGAGTGTTTCTCTGATCCCGCATGTCAAGTCATGGGCTACCGCGTTCTTCATCAAGATTTACGCCCGCGTGCTCGAGAATTGGGAATTCGTGAACATCCACATCGTGCTCAATTGCTGGAAAAACTATCGAAAGATCCACCACAAAACTTTGCAAGAGCCAAAGAGATCTTTGAGTATTTGGCTTCGCAACAGGGTGACTTTAATAGCTCTGATTGGAATACATTGGGACTCCTTCATTTTATCCCTGTTACAAGAGACAAGTCGCAACCTAACTCCATCACTCATATAAATCCTTTTAACTGTTATTTCCGAGGACAAGATGACAGGTGTTTATTATTTAATTGTTTTTGTAAAGTTAAACGATTAGATTTTTATTTTATTCTAAACCACTGTTCGGTTAAATAGTTATGCAGATTTCTTTCCACATGTGAATTTCGGCGATCGAGCAAACAACTTTTTACGAAGTTGCGGTGTAAAACCTGAACCATCACCAACCGAATTCGCTCAGCTTCTCGTACGATCTTCTCATGAGTTTCTTAGTAATATAGGCGATAACGTCGAAAAATACTTTAACATATTGCGCATGATTGCCGCGAATTTCAATGCGATTAAACAAAATGCTAAATTATACAATGAAATGAAGCGATCGGCAATTTTGTTGGGTATCTCTAAACTTCCAAAGAGTGGTAGTAATAAAGTTAATCAGAGAAATAGTATCGATGGAGATATGAACGAAGAATTAATTGATCAACATCAATTGGCCGTGGCTAAAAATATCTTTATAAATGACCATGCGATGTATCAACGGGTATTTAATCCTTTGACTGCACCCAATGAGGAATTCTTGGAAAATCTATACGAGGCATGTTTATATATTTGAATTTATGCCCTTTTGTTACGTGATTATTTAATACTTATTCATGTTTAATAATCTATAATCATTTCGAATAATATAGCAATTAGGAAGTCCACGTCTAAGTTCTAGTGTTCAAGAGACTTACACTCCAAAAGGAAATCCAAGAGATACAAAAAATTCTAGAGAACTAGGGGAAAGAATAAGAGAACGAGCGGCTTTATTTTATCACGAACGCAATTCGAATGAATTTCTGCGGGATGTTGATTGGTTACAAAAGAAACTAAAGATTCGTGAAGTCGACGAAATTGAGGTCGGCATGACTCTGAATCCCACTAAAGAGAGAAGAACTGAATTCACCACCGCCTGTCTTCTAATGGACAGAGGGTATGGCATACTCTCTATTTGTGGTGATTTGGATTACCTTGATATCGGATGGATGCTCGGTAGACAGTTATACAAAAAACCAAAATGGAATGATCATCTATTACTAAATTCGTTATTGACAACCCCGTTACAAAGCCTTAAACGTAAGGGATACCCGGTTGATCGTATTTTGCAAGCGAAAAAACGCGCAGCTACAGAATATATGGTGAAGAAAACCGAAGCAACGACAACTACTTCGCTTTTTGATCCTAATAGTAGTACTATATTACTGAATAGACGACAGGAACAAGCAGCAAAATCATTATCAGAAATGTTTCCAGATTGCGAGCCGAATTTCCTTCGAAAAAGTGTCGCTGAAGCAAGATCCAACGATCTGGTGAACGAGGTTGCAAATAAATTATTGAAGGAAAATAACTACCCGAAAAAAACATCAGCTGTTGATAATAACGGAAATAAACCTGGTTGGTTTGATATGGTAACAAAATTGATCGATAATGTTGGAGCTTATAAACAATCTATTTCTAACATTGCTACTACCACATCCAATCAATCATCATCACCTGATAATACTCGACCTGAAGGAACAAAACCACGAACTCCTGCACCTGTCTCACCCGAAAAGACAAAGAATCTACGGAATGCTTTACGTCAAGCTGTTAATCAATGTCGTCCCAATTCTGGGAGTGCGATAAATAGTGAACAAAAGGTTGAGATAGTTCAAGAAAGCCAAGAGACTTATTGCGACATTCTACCAGGTAAGTTCTTAAATTTCAAATTGTTATTTGCAAATTAACAAACATCAATTATCCTCATAAATTTAAAACATGAAATTAACAATAGGTCATTCTTTGAATTACGTTGGGCTTTGCAACGAGATCGAAGTTTACGTGGCCAAAGATCTTGATGCGGCTGCAGTAATAAATTCTCCCGAAATAGTCCAACAGCTGAATCGTTTTGTGGCATTGCTAAAAGACCTTGGGGATGTATTCCAAATTCATCGCAAAGCAATTCACATTTTCTACGATACTGAGGGGACAACGATTGCTTTCAACCGTGACAGCTCCCTGTTCTTCAATCTGCGGTATTATAAGGGACTACATGATACCGGCAACAGTGAACTACCAACAAGTGAAGCGTTTATATATTGGTTTATGACTTTTAGTCATGAATTGGCGCATAATTTCATAAAATTACATAGCTCGGAACATGAGGTAATAATTGATTTTTATATATTTCTTTGTTGATTTAATAAGATTATTAATTGTAACGGTATTTGATTTAAATTAGTATTACTTTTCATCATTTGCCGAGAATTACATGCCAGCTTTGATGTCAAAGATGAAAGCCCGAGGGATCGTCGTGTCTTAATAACCAATAACAACAACCTAACCTTAGATAATAAATGACTTGTACTATATTAGATGATATATTTAATATTAATTATGCTAATTTGGGTAAAGAACTCTCGATTAATGAAGTGACGGGCATCTATAGACCACAGAAATAACAAATTAAATTGAATAAATAAATATCTCAAAGAAAATTTTCAATGCCATTGTTTTCCTATAATACATTTGTGCTATGCTTATTTCGGGCGAGCTTGCATTATATACCCAGTCTGGTAATGAAGTCCAAAAGTACATAACGATAAATAAATTTGCAAACAACGAACATTAGTTATATACAATGTATATCCCTCATTCTTTCTCGAAATAATTTTATTCGTACCACCTACTTTATTTAATAAAAGCTTGTCCCTTTTTTTGAAATGTAATTTTCTTCAAGATATTTTTCTCTTTAGAATATATACATCTAGGATATAATAATAACATCATATAATATAACAATAAAATGTCGAGTCGGAATTCGTCGCAGCGAAAGTTAAATTTCAATGTTGGAGAGAACTATGAAGTTTTAGATGTCGTTGGTGAGGGTGCCTATGGTGTGGTTTGGTAAGTTGCTGCCCTCGATTTTATCCTGAGAGCATTCGTTGGGATCAACTCTTTCTCGTATAGTATCCCGTTAAAAACAAACAAAAAGCACTTTTTGACCTTATTTGCATCTTGTAATATTAGTTCTGCAACACATAAACCAACTGGCCAAAAAGTAGCCATAAAAAAGATCACGCCGTTTGATCATTCAATGTTTTGCTTACGGACACTTCGAGAAATCAAATTGTTACGGTATTTCAACCATGAAAATGTATGATGATGGATATTTAGTGTTTTCTATTCATTTTGATAGGAATTCATTGATATTAAATATTAAATTTATTTCTTTAGATTATTGCTATATTGGATATTGTAAAACCGGAAAGCCTGGAAAAATTCACTGAAGTGTAAGTCTCTGGAGCTTACCAGATTTTAATTAAACCATGAATTATATATAATTAGAAAGACTAATTATTTCATTAAAATAATAATAGTTATCTTATCCAAGAGTTAATGGAAACAGATATGCATCGCGTAATTCGTACTCAAGATTTAAGTGATGACCATTGCCAATATTTTATCTATCAAACTTTGCGTGCCTTGAAAGCCATGCATTCGGCAAACGTTTTACATCGTGATTTGAAACCGAGTAATCTGTTACTTAATGCTAATTGTGATTTAAAAGTAAGTTTTGCGCGTTACTTTTGTTATTACTAAATAATATATGTTATTAAATTTGATTTTTATTCAGGTCTGTGATTTCGGTCTAGCAAGAAGCGCAAACACCAGTGACGAACATAGCGGGTTCATGACCGAATATGTGGCGACACGATGGTATCGTGCACCCGAGATCATGTTGACATTCAAAGAATACACAAAGGCCATCGATGTTTGGTCGGTTGGTTGTATTTTGGCTGAGATGTTGAGTGGAAAACCGTTGTTTCCGGGCAGAGATTATCATCATCAACTCACTCTTATTCTTGACGTACTTGGCACTCCATCTATGGAAGACTTTTATGGTATTAAAAGCCGAAGAGTAAGTATATTCTTATGTGTTATGATGGAAATATTACCTAAACGATTTCATCGTAACTAAAATATGACAATTCATATAGGCTCGCGACTATATTCGCAGTCTTCCGTTTAAAAAACGCGTTCCTTTCACTCACATGTTTCCTCATGCTAACCCTTTGGCGCTCGACATGTTGGAAAAATTATTGGCGTTCAACCCGACAAAGAGAATCACTGTTGAAGAAGCATTGAAACATCCTTATTTGGAACCGGTAATTATTTAGCAGCGTTATTGTACTGACTGAACACGTATTTAAATGGCTATTACTTAAAAATTTATAATACCTACCTACCCCATTAATAATAGTATCATGATCCAGACGACGAACCAGCAGCAAACCCGATTCCGGAATCATTTTTTGATTTTGATAAACAAAAAGATCAATTGTCGAAAGAACAGCTAAAACGTAAGTAATAAACTATTTTGTTTTCTCTATACAAATTTACTTTTTATTAATCATCTCATCTTTATTGTTCAGAATTTATCTACGATGAAATCATGCGACCTTTATAGAATATTTATTATTTTTACTAATAGAATATATATTATATTATATTATATTCAACATTTTGTAATTAATTTTTTCCTTATTTATTATCTTTGTCAATATAAAATATTAATAAACATAGAGTGCCAAGAGTGATGTGTATCGTGAATTTCTTTGTGTGATGATACCTATATATTATTCATTTAGTATGTGGAGATTTTCTTGTTACTGGATCCGAAGCCATGGCCCTCTGTGATCAACCAATTGAGTACCAATGAATTTGCCGACCACCACAAACAAGCGAAATAGTCACGCGTAAATAGACCAATCCAATTGCAAATATTAGGTGTAACGAATAATTCAAAAATTTTACCATGGCAACTGGCTCTCAATCTATGCTCAGCGCGAAATTTTAGATATAATCTAGTCTTAACCAAATTTCTGAACTAAATGGATCAACATTTAATAGTTGAATGGTTCGCTATTTTGATTGGTCGAAGATTTTTTTACTTCACAATAGCTAATAGGCATCACACTATAGAAGTCTGCTCCCTAGAAATCAAAATACTCAAAATAAAACAGTTCGCAATTTTAATATTAAAGTTAAAACTTAAACTAGTAGTTTTAAAATTGCCAAATTATATATAATAATATACTAACATATATAGCTTTTATTCTTAAAAATTATTGTTTTCAAGTTTGACTTGTAATGTTTTTGTTTAAATCAACAAAATAAAGGATTACAAAATTTCTCTTTAATATGTGTTTTGCTGGATAAATTTCATCGGATCTACTAAAATTCTGTTTTTTTTTTTAAATTGCAAGTCTTCATTATATTTAGTTTCTTAATTAACAGTCAGTGATTTGATAAAAAAAATCATAGTTTATAAAGATTTGTTGACTCATGAAATATGAATTATTGACTCATGAAATATGAATTATTGACTCATGAAATATGAATGTATTATTCATTGATATACAAGATACCATTTTTCTTTATACAAATTCTTTATGTAGGAGTAACATAATAGCCATAAGTAATTGAGTTAATTTGATAAGCTTAATCAAAAAATGTCTGACTTTTTAACGGAATCCTCTAAATGTATTTTTACTAGCGGATCGACGATTCCGTCGTCTGTTGTCATTACTATCATTGGAGTTATTTTCTTGTCGACTACCATTCTGGCCTTTATTTTTTTTCTCTAACTTGAAACTCATCTCCATCCCACCGAATGGAACTTTATTAATTTGATAAGGTTCTGGACGTGATTTCTTTCTAAGAAGTCGATCTCCAAATGTCTGTTTCGAAGCTTTTGCTTTGTTTGAATCCATGCTATCAAAAGTCTAATTATTATTGATCAAAAGTAAATTTTTGAGTCGAGTTTAATTTTACACAAATAGAAAACAGATACAGGATTAATCCACAATAATCATAGAATAACACTCACTCTCATTTCTATTTTGCGAGATTTGTTGCCATTTATTTGTTTCTTTGATTGAGTATTTGACGATCGAATAGGCTCGTCTTTTAACTTAGACGATGGTCTAACTTTTCTTAATTTGTCCAGTTGTGTAATTAGATCTTAAATAGATTTTTGAATTTTGTTAGTGAATACATATACATTTTATACAATAGTATAATTTTCTATTACCTTCATCGCTATCTATTTCAGATCTAGAAGACGAGATGGAATCATCATCATCGCTTTCGCTATTTTCCGATTCACTTTTTTCGTTATCATAGTTGTCTTCGTCCTCATCTGAAATGTTTTTCTTTTTCTAAGCGAAATGGAATTATCCACGAGTCAAAAGAGTCTAATAAATACAGGTTCATTTTAAAAATAAAAAGAAGAAACTCACAGAAAGAGAAGGATGAAGTAGTTTGAATTCTCTTGAATTCTCATCAACTTGGTAATCAGGATTAGTAAATAATTGACCAAATCGATTATCTTTGAGAGGATTTACGAACATCTATCATTCAAAATTTAGAAGGTTAGTTTTATATGAATTAACTAGAGTTTGGAGATTATACAGACAACAAATATATACCTCATTTGGTTTTTTCTTTTTCTTCTCTTCATCTTCCAATAATCGACCAGCCAGCTCTTTATTAACTTTAGGTAATTTCTTTGTTACCCTGATTCTGGAAGAGCGTTCTTTTTCAATCTTTTCTTTAATTACTCGTTGACGATATTCCGCGTAAGCAAATGGATTCACGATAAGTTTTGCCTTTAATCAGAAAAAAAAATTGATCTAAAATTGCTCTCTTGATTGGATTATCGTGTAAAATAATCGTCCATACTTTTTCATATAATCTTAAATCAATAAAAAAACCGTGCATGTATGCTTTAAGCAAATTAGTGCCTATAAGATGATCCAAGCCAAGACTATATATGAATAATAAGAACATTATTAAATATATTATTGCCATAGATTTTCATGAATAGAAGCAAAAATATTAGTGCGGGGCTTACTTTGTCAATTCCTTTCTCGTCACAAATTTGTAATTTTCATAAATATTCTCTTGCGGATTTTCTTCAAGTTCTTCCTACATTAATTGAAAAATGTATGTTTAAGAATGGAAGATATGACTATGATATCGAATCGTATAATAGAACATACTGTCAAATTATCCAAGAAATAACACCACCGAGGTGCTGGTCCAAGAGATGGAATATAATAAGCGCCAATTTGAATACCTTCATTTGCAATGAATATTAATCCTGAATCGGGCACGACACACACATCATTGATATCGTTTGGAGGCTCAACCGACGTAAAATGTGCACCCTGCAAAAACGTTTATTATTAACTTAATTTGAATATGAAAAAGTTCGAATGGCCCAAAGTTAAGTTTGAAATTGCCTCACACACAGATTCTCGATCCCAGATTTTCATAATCTTGCAATCTGCACTTATAACTTTCCCTCGTCCTTTATCTCCAGCAGCATTATTGTACCAATGTACACTTTTAATAGGATACCCATATTGATGATCTTTGACTAACCACGGTGAGGAACTACGTATATCATACAGCAAAATGTGACCACTGGATGTTCCAACAGCTAGGCCAAGTCCGTCATCTCGAAATTTCATTGAAGTTATTTGGATGTCCGTTGTAATAGCGTTAATGACGCTATTTTCACTGCCTAAAGATGATGATAATTGTGGAGTCAGCAAGCCTACGCGTGATCTGGATCGTGGATCCCAGAATTCCACAGTCCCATCTTCAGTTCCGAATCCGAATAATTGATGCGCCGGATTTATAATGTTCACATTCACCCCTTTAACAGCGTCTGTCATTATAGAGTTCAGAAAACGCCCTTGACCTAAATTCAGGCGATATATTTCACTAGATGATGCTGCTATAAGAAGATCGCAGGTAGGAAAATGGTACGCCAAATCCCTCCCAAACTAAGAATCAAGATATTAAAAAATCAAAGTATTAAAAATCAGAGAATCAAAACAAATAAGGTTTTTATGTAATAAAAAATTACATTACTTTTGGTATTCGAGTCTTATAATGTAAACCTCCTTGTGCATGAAATTCAATTGTTCGGTCATTCTGTAGTAATACTGATTTTGTCCAATCATCTGACAACGTCTATTATTAATATTTAATAAGCAATTTTTAAGAAACATGATACGATTAAAATAGATCAAGTTTAATAATAATAACAATAATATCTTACTATGAAATTTATATTTTCAGCATCTGTATGACGATCGAATTTCATCGATGTCTCTGAAAATTCGAAAACTCGCATTTGCGGCTTATAGACTCCTAATAAAATCGAAAAATTCCATCGAATTAACGAGTTAAACCTATTTTTTTCATTTAATCCGATGAAATTCTAACCAGTTGCGATCACAAATTTATTATCAGCCGTGGTTTTTACTTTAATAGAAGCCTCAGGAAATTCAAAGTCCTGAATTAGTTCAATGCGTGACCTCCATTCTATTTTACAATAATTAAGATAATAAGTTTATAGTTATCAAGAGATAGGTAATATAGGCTAAATACTAAACCTGGATCATCTTTCAGAGTTTTTTTCCTTCTTCGAGCAAGCCAATCTGGTATCGAGCGTGTTCCTGAACCAGAAACTGTGTATATCTTAACGTTATTCGGGTTAGTAACTTGGAGTACCATTATCGTTATTAGAATGTTGAAACCAAAGACCAAAAATTTCACTTAACATCTACCACGTGATTGTTATCAGAATTACTCGTCCATGCAACATTACATTATTAACGCTAATAAAAGTTAGTGTGTAAATTATAAATTCTAATTTATATCCTTCGATAACAATAATGTATAAATAAATATTATTGATATACAATGAACCTTAAAACAATATATATTTGATTTTGAAGCATTTTCTGATTATATCTAATAATAATATTACAAATTGCAACACCAAGTAAAATATACATATACTTTAAAAAAAGTAGCAAATACGCGCTATAATAAATGAAACTAAAAAATCACGTTTTAATTCCCCTCCCTAAACACATATTCTTTTTCCTTAATAAACATCTCTGATATTGAATTCTCTCTCAACCCCCCGGACCCCAATAACAAAATCTCAAATAAATTAATAATAAAAATGATGATGATGATGAGGATGATGATGATGATGAATGATAGAAAATTAAATATTAAAAAATCAAGCAAGCAAACTATAACAACAGTAGTAATAATAAATGTCTTTGATTTTGTTGGATTTGTATTGCTTAATAAAAACTATTGTGATAGAATATCTTCGAGTTATGTATATATGTAAATGTATATGTATGAGATTGTCCTTCTCTCTCTTAAATTTCTTGATATATTTTAACCTTTCGTCGCGTCCAACAATCCGCTTCCAGCCATTTCTTTAGGTGTCGGCATCGTCGTCGTACGCGGGTTCAAAAAGTCTCCTTGGTTCAAGTCTAACCAACAACGGCCTTGTCCCCAATAACAGGTACTCGAGAACAATGCGAGTAGTAGTATTGTGCAGTATACACTTTTTTATTATCATTATATGAAGGATTTAAAATATCAGCATAAATCAAGAAAGTGCCATCGCGTCAATTATTAATAAAAGAAAATGCGGTACTTACCAAGGTCGTTGATGCAGAAAGTATGAAATCAAAAAGGTTAGCACAAAAAACGGTGGTGCATTCGGGAATGGTAATAGTAAGAGTGGAATGAACCAACGCATGCAGTACATTATTGTATTATTTTGCTTTATTTGTTGTATATCAATCCCTTCTAGACACCCGCCTAAACACTCTGATTACCGACCCTCTTATCTAATCTTTGTTGTATTTTACTTGCTTTTCGTAAGCTGTTGCTTCTTTTTACAAAAGGTTGTTTTTATATGAAAAGTTTGTTTCAAACGATAACGATAATAATAAGAAGGTAAAAAAACTGTTATTGTTATTATAACTGTGTTTAGAAAACTGAACAACACCACGTGTAATAATCTCCCTTCTTTATGATAAATAATAATGATTGGTTGCATCAAAAACTAAACATTCGGGAAATTTTCGAACCATGTATGTCGCAAAAAAACTCAGAAACTCGGACCCATAAAGATGGCTCGGGCTTGGTCTGACTCGAGTAGTTTTATCAAACAACTATTCAGTTCTATTACACTACACGGACTTCCGTTCACCTTTCAAAGTTCAGTTCTCATTATTGGGCTTCTTTTTCACATTTTATACATATGGAGCATTTTCGACATTTACTTCACATCGCCTTTGGTACATGGAATGACGCCGCAACGGGTTGTGTTACCCTCACCGGCGAAAAGACTTGTTTTGATCGTTGGTAGGCTTGACAATTGTGAAAAATACCTTCTTTTATACCTTGTCACCTTATGATAAAATAACACCTCATTGTAATGATAAATAATTAAGCTGACGGTTTACGTGCTGATAAGTTATACCAATATCTTTCGGACGAGAATTCAACAATAACGACAAATAATCCCGATTCAGGAAATCCTCCTTTCCTGAAAGAAATTATTAATGAACAAGGCACATGGGGAGTCTCTCATACCAGAGTACCAACAGAGTCAAGGCCTGGGCATGTCGCCTTAATCGCAGGCTTTTATGAGGATGTTAGCGCTGTAACTAGAGGTTCGGCGTCGCATATTTGTTAATAAAAACAAAAAAAAATATCTAATTAAGATTTTAAATATGATTAAGGCTGGAAAACGAATCCTGTAGAATTCGATTCAGTTTTCAATCAAAGTCAGTATACATGGTCGTTTGGGTCTCCCGATATATTGCCAATGTTTGCTGAAGGCGCGTCCGATCCGGATCGCGTAAACACAATAATGTATTCCTCAGATAGCGAAAATTTCGCGGAGGGTAATTCTATTTTAATACGATGTGTAATTATACTTTCTATTGATGTACTAATAATTTCACTATATAGATGCGGCAGACTTAGATTATTGGGTATTCAGGCATTTTCGCCAATTATTTGCGAATGCTTCGTCTGATCCACACCTACATCAAAAATTGCAAGGCGAGCAAATTATATTCTTCCTCCATTTACTCGGCTTAGACACTAATGGTCACGCGTACGGTCCTCATTCTGAAGAATACTCGCATAACATCAAAGTAGTAGACGAGGGAGTTCGCGAAGTTGTCGAATTTCTGGAAAATTATTATAAGCACGATGGTAAAACTGCATACATCTTCACTTCTGATCATGGAATGAGCAATATAGGTAAGTAAGCTAGGATAATTATTTGAAATTTAAATGATAATAATAGTTATTTTATGACATTCTTTGTTCTTTGAAATTAATTAGGTAATCACGGGGACGGACACCCGGATAATACGCGTACTCCATTAATTGCATGGGGTGCTGGTATTAAAAAGCCTAATAAAACACATTTGGGTGGATATTACGATGATGTGCTCGCTACATGGAATTTGACTCACTTAGAAAGAAATGATGTCTTGCAGGCTGATATCGCACCTTTGATGGTATTATATTATTATTATTTTGTTAATATATTTTGCAATTTTAACATTCCGTTATCTATTAGTGACATTCTCATATTAATTACTTAGGCATCTTTGATTGGTATTAATTATCCTGTAAACTCTGTAGGGGAATTGCCATTAAATTATCTTGATAACACGGATCAGTTTAAAGCACAGAGTCTTCTCGTCAATGCGATTGAAATTTCTGAGCAATATAAAGTTAAAAATGGTGATTTTTGTCAATTTTTATGATAGGATTCGAATTTTCTTGTTTTTAACATAGCTTACTATTTTGTTCTTCCCAGAATTCAAAAAAAGAACCGCATTATGGTACAAACCGTTTGCTCCGCTGAGTAATTCTACGCATAATCCCGACACATTAATCACGCAAATCAGAAATTTTATTGACAAAGAAAATTATAATGAAGCAGAAAAGTTGTGTTTAGTTCTGGCAGAACTTACGTTACAAGGGCTTCGGTATCTTCAAACGTATGAAATATTTTATAGTATTTAAACTATCACCTTTATTCAATAAGTAATATGAACTGTTTTGATTTTGATTCTCCCCCCCCCCCTTTTTTCATTCCTCACTTACAGGTATGATTGGCTCTTTTTGCGATCAATTGTCACGATTGGTTATTTAGGTTGGATTGCTTATTGCTTAATTTTTACCATAAAAGAATACGCACTAGAAAACACTTATCAACTATCGAATAATAATAGCAAATATAAAGAAAATAAAATGGCAAGTGCTTCGAGATTTTTTATCTTATTGTTGTTGTATATTAAATTTTTGGTGTAGAACATTTAATATATGTTGCTTTTTTATAGTTGATGCATGTGTCTCGATTCTCTTTGTTGATATTCTTCCTTATTCTTTATGTGCAAGAATCGCCGAGAACTTATTACGCATACGTATTCTTTCCGATAGCTTTTTGGAGTGAGGTGTTGAGGCGATACCACATTTTATCAGACTATCATTGGGATCGGGCCTTAGATGAGCATAGTTGGATTCTTGTTGCTGGGTATACTATTGGATATATTCTCGTGTTGGAAGTCTTTGTAAGTCTGGAAACGCGTTTACATATATTTGATAATTTGGGTGCGCTTGAAACTTACGTGTAGATTTTAAAAAAAACTTGAATTTGCTAACATATGTCAATTATTTATTAGGTATACAGTTATTTCGAGCGTAAAACTTTAACAGCTTGTTTTATTTTTACCGCATTTTGGCCTTTCGTAACGTCGTTTCAATTCCGCGAATCGAATGGACCACTACTCTACTCGTGGTTCGCTTCATGCATGATTTCCGGCACGTTTTTATTACTACCAGTTGAAAAAGGAGAAAGTATCATTCTGGTGTGAGTATTATAACTTTCTATAGTTCCCCGAGTATATTATATATATAAACGTATACACAAAAATCCAAGTTTATAAATACCCAGACTCACCACAGATCTTCTCTAATATGTGGGCACCAGCATAACTGGTGGCATTTTGATCGGTGTCACGGGGCTTATTGCGTTATGGAAAAGTAAACATTTCATCCCAGAAGTTGATTCGTTTGCACAAAGAGTAATTTGGGTTCAGGTACGTGATAAAGATGATGCTAGATAATCGGTGTGTATTTATTTAATTTAACACCGCAAAGTTCTGTTCTTTGTTATTAGCTTGGGTTAATATTTTCCAGCACTTTGCTTGTTTATGATACGACAAATAAATTAAAATCGAAAGCGGGCTTGCCGCTATTGAATCAAATACTTGGTTGGACTATTTTAGGTAAATTATTTTTATAAAAAGATTTTTGAAATTCTCTTTCGTATTAATGTTGACTGTTGACTATTTACTATTAGTTATCTCCACCTCTACACCTTTTATATACGGATTTCGAGCAAAGCAACATTATTTTCATCGCCTTATCAATATCGTTCTAGCATTCGCGCCGTTATTTGTACTTTTGAGTATTTCCTATGAAGCATTATTTTACTTTTTCTTTTCAATTACCCTACTCTTGTGGCTTTTCCTAGAACAAAAAATTTACGAGTCAGAGTCATCGCCATCGTCGTCCTACACACACAAATCACCCAATTATACATCAAAATCCTCCGAATTAGTTACGACAGAAACACGAAAATTGACTCTACGTGACACCCGAACTGCATTATTTTTCCTCTTTTTTATAAAAGTCGCTTTCTTTGGTACTGGCAACGTTGCAAGCCTCAGCAGCTTTTACCTATCAAGTGTCTATCGCTTAACCACAGTCTTCAATCCATTTCTCATGGGTGCCCTCTTACTCTGCAAAATCCTAATCCCATTTTTCATCGTTTCGTCCGTGTTCACAGTTGTCACGAAATCAGTACAGCTACCGGCTTTCAGTCTATTTTTGTTGGTGTTGTCGACGTCAGATGTGATGACATTGAATTTTTTTTATCTGGTTCATGATGATGGGAGCTGGTTGGAAATCGGGACGACGATTAGTCATTTTTGTATTTGTTCGTTGTTTTCATTGTTTATGATACTGCAGTTTTGGTTGAGTAATTTATTGGTGGGTGATGTTTATGTACCATCACTATCATCACCGGATGATGTGGTATTGACAACAAAAAGGCAAAGAAATACGTTAGAACAAGAAAAAATCAGAATAGAGTGAAGTAGCATTTATTATTTATTTATTATACTACTAATAATATTTAGATTATTATCATATTTGTTAGATTAGTAGTTATTTGATTTATATAATTTTATTTATTTTCATCCGAAGCACACGAATAAAAAATAAAAATAAACAGAAAGGTCACCCTATAACGATAAGATAATGGTTATGATCTTATTAATTGCTGAATTACATATTCGAGAACATTACACTTCCTTCAATTTTATAAACTTATCATTTTCTCTAAAATAAATAATACTGGATACAGTACACATATCTGAAGGTATAAACTGATCTTTTTTAAACAATACTACAAATTAATGTACATTATATTAAATAAATACTATCATCATAAAATCTAACTATCATCGCTTGCTAAATTTTTGAAGTTTAATTTTTGTTATATATGGGGCTGACGAGATTTCACAGTGATTTTTCAATGCCATTATTGGTATCATCGAGGGTCTTCGAGGGATGAAAAATCAAATTCATAAATTAGATACAAATAGCAAAAATGACGTTTTTAATGCATAATTATATTTATTACCTTCCATGAGCACATTGAAATGGAAAGACGCATCTAACAAGTTTCTGTACAAGTCTTTGGCATTGGTCAAGTTCTAGTAGATCGTTGAACATGATCGCGCCTTTTCGTAATAATACCAAACACCAATAAAAAGTATATTATCATTCTTTTTATTATCAGGAATACACGACAAGAATCTATATACTTAGAATATTATAAAAATGTGAAAACTACCTCGACAAGCCTTCGAATTCAAAATATCCAAAATCCCTCTCGGACATGTTCTTAATATAACTGGCCATTTTTTATCACATTCAGCATCATCATCGTCTTGTAATCCATTCACGATATCCTCAAGTGACACGCTGGTCCCGCCACAATTCTCTTCAAGCCAAAAAAGATGTCGCCTGATAAGATCCTGTGTAATTCGTGTATCGGTAATACATCGGTCGACAATAACTTCTGGCAGATGAGTTATGTAAATTGGAGCGTAATCATTTTTATTACTATTAGTGTTGATATGTGTTGCTGCTGTTGTCGTTGATGTTGTAGCAGATGTAGGATGTGAATGAATATCTCCTGATTTCTCAATTCCACTATTGTAATAAAATATCCCCCATTCATTGAAATACCGTGCATATCGCTGAGCTGCTTGTGCTTCTCGCTGAGATAAAACAATTTTGATTGGTGATTTCAGCTGAATCGTATCAATTATTGAAGAAAACTTTTCTGAATCTGCATCTTTTGTTCTTTTGTCATTGATTTTAAAATTGCATAATTCTTTGAGAAACATCTCTATACGAATACGTTCATCTGCTGCATGTTGATCCACAAGAACAAGAATCTGTTTGACTTTATTTTTATTTTTCATATTGTCATCAATTACTCTTTCTTTTACTCCTCTTACTCCTTTTTCTTCATGAGCTTCTTGATACGGGATTTTGCATGCGATAAACTTCCCATCAACTTGTCCAATAACTTCAGCACGTTCAATTTCTTGTTTTGTGAACCGGTATTCTTTATCGAGTGAGCAGAAATTATAATCATTAATAGTTTCCAGATTTGAAGAAGATAGCAACGGGAGAGGAGCTTCAGTGTTTTTGAAAATAGGGTTGTTCCACTTCTATCATAATTGTGAATTTATATGGTCATCAAATAAATGACAATATGATTATTATGATTACAATGATGAAAATGTACCTTGAACTTTTCTTTAACCCAATTTGAACAAGAGCCTATTACATCTTCATCACTGTCTTTCCGAAAATTCATTGACGTCCGCAAAAAACGTCGATCAACTTTTGCACAAGAAAAGGGTTCCGTACCCGCATTAATATTATCATTATTGTTATTATTAGAAGGCAAACTTTTGTAGCTGCGAAAATAAATTGTAAAATTAATAATTTGCGGTTTATATGATAGAAAATCGATAATAATGTGCCTTTCTTGACATACGAGTTTCCAGTTCTAGTGTCGATGTAGGAAGCATGTTTGGTGATAGGATCTGCCCATTTAATGTACTCATTTGTTGGTTCAGAATTTAGGTTGTTTTTGTTCTCATTTTCTGAATTACTATTGTCTCGTTGTGACTAATGATTAGCAATAAAAAATAATCGACAATCCCATTAATATTAACTAGGTCACTATTTGCCAATGCTCTAGATTAATCAATGAAAAATACCGATTCGGAAATAGATTTCATCGAAGATACCACTGATACTTTATTTTTTATCGTCGCCAAGTCGCTGGTGTCGACATCTCCGACAACAATATGCGAGCCCTTCAATTCTTTGTCCTCGAATATTTTTTTCTCCGTCAAAATACTGTTGACGTTGCTATTGCTGCTACTACTTTTTACGTGTACCAAATCTTCAAATAACTTTTGGTCCGCGGAACGATGATCGTGACGACGGTGAGTAGTGAAAAAAGATTTCTTATGTTCTCTGGAAGATACAATTGGTGGTTCTTCTAATCTATTGGTCTGATGATTGTGGTGATGGGATTGGGATTTTTCCTCCAAAAAGCAAAAGGTAACCAAGAATTTCTTGATTAGCGCACTTAGAAGGTCTATAAGTTCAGGCCAATTCTGTTAAAAAAATCCAATAAAATCACTATTAATTTTAGTATAAAAAAGATCCAGTAATTAATCAATAAATTATATAAATAAGCAATACCTTGAATTCAATTATATTTTTCAGAGGATCGAGGCAAATCTCATAATAATTTTTCGGACAAGTGATATGCAGCAGAAAAATTGGATAGTAGTTTTGGTGATGGTGATGATGTTTTTCTGATTCTTTTTTTTTAGATCAAAACGATGAAACCCTCCTCAAAAATAAAAAGAACTTTAAAACAAACAAGCAAACAGAAATTCCTACGTGAATCATACAGTGATTCCATTTCCTTTGTAAGAATTAAATATGAAAAAAACGCTTCAAAATAATATAATATATCACAGTATAATTATCATTTGACTCTTACCAAATCTTTAGAAAAATCGCTTTTCATAAAAACCATTTCAACTGTCTTGTGTAGCTCGTTGTATGAGACGAATCGACCATTCACATCTAGCGTAAGAACATAAAAAATATATAAATTCAAAAATACTTAACATATATATATATACGATGTGTGATATGTGATACGTGCAGAAATATTGATATTGCTAAAATCAAAAAGACAAATCCATAAATTAGTCATAAAAAATCGATATAATGTTATTTAAAAAAAAGTTGTGTTTATTTACCTTTGTATGATACCCTCTCACCGACACAAATCCATTAATCCTCAAATCGTCTTGCTCCGCAAAGACATACTCAAGATCCTGATAATATAGAATAGAATATTTTATATAGGAATACTAAATAGTATAGAGGTCATTATAAATACAATTGCGTATTAGAAAATTCAATAGAACCTGCCTGCGCAAGTGATACTCCAAAAAGTTGTCTGAATCTAGAAATATTAGAAGTTGTCTAATAAAAGAAAAATATTAGAATATCAATTAGAAAATAATATTATCACTAGTATTATAAACTAATCTTACTCGTACTTTCTTTGCTAAAAGGATCTTATTATTCTGGGATGAATCAGCAAGGATAAACGTCACATCTGAATTAATCAACGCATGAATTTCAACCTCTCTTTTCAAGTTCTCAAGTTCATTCACGATGGAAAATGCAGATCGGCGTTTTCTCCTAACCGGAAGCTATCATAGAACAAACATCACAATTAAACACAATTATAATCATTGTAAACTATTAATTACAAAGTTACTACCATATAAAAGAGATCACGAATGATCACTATTGTTCCCGGTTGTTTCCCCTTCGTCATTCGTATAGAGCGGTGTCGAATAGATTTTCCATCCTATTAACAAAAAGTTTAATATCACGTAAACAACTGAAAAGCAATTGTTTCGTATAGATACTTATTATTGTGTCCTGACCTTTAATACGACACTGTAACCATCAAAATAATTTGGATGTTTGCTAATTATTTCCAAAATAGCAACATCTGAAATACTAGCCAACGCTTTTTTTTATTAAAATGATTATTCGATTAGTTGATATACATATGTTGATCCGAGATAATATTATGATAACTTTTTATAAAGTAAAACCTTCGCCACGAAATCCATAGGTAGTCACTTGTTGCAAATCCTCCAGAGTATTACATCTTGATGTGACTGATTATGAATAAAATTGCATTAGAAACAATGGACTTTTTCTGTAAAGAACGAATGTATGCACTGATTTTTTTGCATACAATATCGTTGCCCGATTTTCTGCAAATCTTCGGGACTGATTCCACACCCGTTATCTAGAACCTGCAAGAAATAATTGGAAACATCCACGTGGATCTCGATAACTGTGGCGGAGGCATCAAGACCTAAGATATCATCATCCAAGTTTAATCAAATAAAGAATGCGATTTTTACTAGATCGATATTAATTAATAATCTTTTACACATACTAACTTACTATTCTGGATGAGCTCTAACATACAATGAGTGAGCGAAGTTATAGTGAGAGAGGAACGAAGTTTTTGAATTGCTTCGTGCTCAAGAAGTCTTATTGTCATTTCGCGTTTTATTATAAAGCTCAATTTTTGAGTTTATATGATTAAAAAGGTTCAATTCAATTGATGGGATCACTGATGATAATAGAGAACATTTTTCCTTTTCTTGATTGAAATATTTTGCTTTTAATCAGTATTTCTAACTTTCAAATATTTCAGACATCTAGAGGCTTATCCTGAAAATAATAATGGTCTCATTAGAGCAAGTATAATGTGTTGGCATTGACGAAATAACTCTGGAAAAGAGATCGACACACAATCTCTCAAGCAGCGACCTTGCGAAATTTACATAGTAAAATATTATGTTTTCAATAATATACGTAGTTGTAAATTTATATAAAAAGATGGAGAATAGGTAGTTTATGACTACAGAGTTATAAGAGAAATAAAAATACCAATTGTGCTTGTATTTTCTAATAAATTTTGCACAATTAGTCTTTATTTCTCCAGAATTATTGAGACTTATCCAAAGCTGAGATCCAGTGTTAGTACTGAACAGCCTGCATATATCTCAAGTTACAAAGTCCATTGGTATACTCAGTAATGTTCCATGAAATCTATAATTCTGACTATATTAATCTTTATTTTTCTGTAGAAATTTTGAAAAAATCATAATCGTTCAAAGCTTTGTGTGCGCTCAATGGACCATTGGTCCAATGTTGTATGGTAATATCGATATGGTGAAAAACGCGCGTAACTACAGTCATACCTCTATACAATCACACCCTATATAATCACAAACTCTCT